ATGTATAGTTATATAACTTTTTATCTATTGATCAGTTGATAGACATTTTGGATTTTTTCCACTTTTGGCTATTATGAATAAGGCTGCTGTGAATATTTATTGTACAATTTTTTATTTTGTGTGTGTGTATAGATGTATGTTTTCATTTCTCTTGGTGTATATCTAGGAGTGGAATTGCTGGCACATATAGTAACTCTGTGTTAGCCTGTTGAGGAATTGCCTGACTGATTCTAATACAACTGTACCATTTGACATTCCCTATAACACTAATGTACAGCAACATTGATTTTAATTGATGTGCATTAGAGACTAGGGGGTGGCAATGGTGGTGGTGCATTTTTATGACTTCATACTAAGAAATCCTGGTTATCATATTAAATGAAGCTTTCTCTTCCCTCTTCTCCCCTTTGAAAACACTGTTGACATTTACACTTGATTAATCGTCTTATTTTTCTGTTTTACAGAGTAAGGAAGTTAGCCTGAGTTTTGTGAAAAACCAGAGAAGAGAAGCTAAGACGACAGTAGACAAGGTTTTTCCAGTTTGCATAATGTAAGTTCTTTTCACTTTTCTTGGCCTAGATCCTGTGTTAGCTGACAAAGCTGTTTCTATGGAAACAAATAGTCCAACCTCTTAGAATGTCAGAGGAATGCTAATCACTTAAAATGAGACTGCCCAGCTGCTGGTCAAAGGACATTACTTGCTGGAGAAGGGGAGAAAAGGATGAATTGAAAAATTTCTAGAGTTCTGGACACTAGTGTAGAATGAACATGTTGATGCATATGAAGTATACCTCTTCCATTTCCCTCTGCCTAAAAATTAGGATACTGATAATACAGGAAATTGTCTTCCTGCTAACCTGCCTTGTTTCCCAGTTCTTAAACAGATAGTTTTATTTCTTGGCACTGTTTTCAGTGGACCTGTACCCTAGGCCATTTCAGTCCCCTCAATCTCAATCATTTGCACTTACTGAAGCTTAGTTTCCTTTTACCCACTTCTCCCATAGCCAATTTATGCAAGCAAAATCCTTTCTCCCCTACTAGTTTGACATTAGCATTGAAACAGCTTTGTGCTTGCCAACTTGAAAATTCATTTTTCTTGTTTTGTGGACTATGTAAAGATTTTATTTTTATTTTTTAATTTTTTTAGAGACACCATGTCTGTCTGTCACCCAGGCTGGAGTGAAGTGACTCTATTGTAGCTCACTGCAGCCTTGAGCTCCTGGGCTCAAGGGATTCTCCTGCCTCAGCCTCCTGAGTATCTAGGACTATACAAACAGGCCACCATGCTGGCTAACTTTTCTATTTTTTTTATAGAAATGGGATCTCGCCATGTTGCCCACGCTGGTCTCAAACTCCTGGCCTTCAATAAGCTTCTTGCCTCAGCCTCCCAAAGTGCTGGGATTATAGGTGTGAGCCACTGCGCCTGGCCAGATTTTTATTTTTATTATTTTTGTTTTCTAGTGGGGATGGGAGCAGGGATTCTGATGAGGATTTGAAATGTGTGTTCTTTGAAACTTTCCTTCTTTTCTCTTTTTTAACTTATAAGTGGAGAATTGAAAAGAAGGGAATTAGGGCTAGTAATTTGTAACTGTATTGTCTTCATAAGATGGTCTATTATTTACACATGATGAGGTCATTCTCTAGTTCAGTCATTTACCAGCTTCTGATTTGTCAAACAAAGGATTTTTTCCCCCCTAAGGGGGGAAAGGGCAATTTCTTTGGACTGGGACTCACTGTTAATTAATGTATATGGACTACATAGATGACCTAGAGTATTCATGGATTAATGTGCTTAAAAATTATGATGGTCTTAATGCTAAAACTATAGGACACAGCATAATGTTTCTTTGATTCTGGAAGAACTTTCTGGATCTTTCATAGCCCTCATAAATTATAAACATTATAGAGTCTATATGGTGAGGTAATTATTTAACAATGTGGATCTTGAAGGTAGAAAATGAATGGACAAGTACTTAATAAGGCATTTGGGCAGGAAGAAAAAAGATGGGACAGACACAAATTAGAAGGCTAAATTAGAAGGCTCAATGCAGGAGGGTAGTAAAAGATACAGTTAGAAAGCTTGGATTCATCTTGTGAGTTTGGACTTTAGGTGATGTAAAAGCCATCAGAGCTTCTGAACAGAGGAGTGATTTGCTCCTATAATTAATTCAGCATATCTCTTACTAGGTATTATGGCTATAGAGATGTATAGGACAGATCTCTGCCAATTAGATCATTTACCTGTGTGATTTACAGTCACCTTGAAATTAATGTGTCCAAAACTAAACTCATATTTCCCTTTAATTTCCCTGTGCTTCTATTTGATTCTCCTGTGTTCTCCTTCGAAATTAATGACATTGTCATCTACCTAGTAACCCAAGGACAGTGATTAAGAGTGATGGTTCTGGAGTCACACTGCCTGGATTCATATTCTGAAGCCTTCTGTTTGGCCTTTGCGCTGGGCAATGTCATAGATCAGCCTGGTTCCCGACCTCAAGGTATTTCTAGTCTAGTGGGGCAGAAGGACAGAGATATAAAATAGCTGTAGTCCAGCTTGATCAAGAATGTGAAAGGCATGGTAGGATTCCAGAGGAGGATGTATTTGAGCTAAGACTTAAGAGGAGAGTAGGCAAAGATTAGATCCTAGGCAGTCCGATTCTGGAGGCTAATTAAATATGCTGTCTTAGGTAACTGGATGGATATAGTGACATTAATTAGAATTGAAAACAGAGGAAGAGGATTAAAGAGAAGAGGGGACTAAAAGGAAATATGAATTTAATTTTGGATACATTAATTTCTAGATTCCTATAGGAAATTTTGGTAAGATAGAGTAATGGGCAGGGTTCTTGTCTCTATAACCCTAGTACCTAGCCTGGGGTAAATGATCAATAAAATTTATGTACAAATCGCTCATCTCTTTCAATTATTTTTAATACTTTCAGGGTAAAGGTCTAAAACTCTTCTCAGTCTGGCCTCCTGCTTGCCTTTCCAGTTTTATCATTATTCATATATGGCATGCTCCCATTGTTCCATCCAGCTTTATTGCATTCTATTCTGTTTTCTGAAAGAGCCACTCATACTCTTCCTTCCTATTGGTCATATGATTCTGTCTGCCTGGAACAAACCCTCTTCTGTCTGACTTAATTTTTAGTTGTCCTTTGAAATGCAGCTCAAAGAAATGTATCCTTATGTATTGAGTGTTTTCTGTCACCTTTTACTACAAACTTAAGTTTTATAGTCCAGTATCTGTACATCCTCTGTGAATTTATGACATTCTAAGTTTAGTTGAACAAATGTTTATTGAGCATTTCTTATATGACATATATTATGATAAGCACTCAGGGGTATGAAAATCAGACATGACTCCTGTCTCTTAACAAATTTAGAATCTGGTGAGGAGAGACCAACTGGGGAAGAATAATCATTTAATTTTCTTTGCTGTCTCTCCCAGTAGACTGTGAACACTCCTGGGGAGATAACCAAAATGGAATTTTAAGCGGATTATTATTAGGTTGCAGAAATTTTTCTGAGAGTAGAAGACTAGGTCCAGATAGACAAGCATGATAATAAATAGTCCAGGCATAAGAATTCTGATTCAGATCACCTGGCCCAGTCTCTCTTGCATGACCTATAATTTTCCCTCATGATTTAGTATGGTGAATATGGACATAGCCTTAGAGTTTTTAAGCTGCGTTTTAATTTTAGTTCATAATTTTTATAGACTAGCATTATATTAAGTAAAAAATATAGTATTAATATTTATTAAATTTGATTTTTAATATCCAGTAATTGTAAATAGAGAAGGTTAAGAATTTTCATTTTCTGAAAATATGTACACTCCTAGATTTTTAAAATTAAGTGTAGCACTGCAGTAACTCCTACACAAATTTCTGCTTACTTGTAATGAAAACATTAAAAAAAGCTGAATTTGCATTTGTGTGTAATCAACATAAAAAGCTTAAGAATTGCCTAGCATAAATTTAATAGCTCTCGTGTTAATGAAAAAGGCAGCAATCTAGTGGTAAATAAGGTACTTGTTGTAGATCACATAATTATAAATAAAGAAGCTAAAATTTGGATGGAAGACAAAAGTTTACCAAAAATCTTGTGACAGTGTAATTTTAGTGGCCCATGTAGCTTGCATCCATTTTCCTGATAGCCTAGTGGTTTTCTTGGTAGCCTAGGTGGGTTTGTGTTAAGCATTTTGTCTTCTATCTTCTGTCTCTACTTGCATTATGACCTAAGATGTTTAAGAAAAGATTGTCCGGCATTAGGAATATTATCTGAAAACCTGGCTTTTGCTTAGTTGGTTGGCATTGTGCTAACCAACCTGTTTATGAAGTAATGCTCAACTCAAGGAGGTAGTAGGTTTATTATTACAAATATTTGTAAAGTCTTGAGTGAAAGAAGACTAATTAGAGTTAATGTGTGGGTTTACATGTATATAAACAATCCGCCTATTTATGCCTGAGAAATGGCTTGATGAAAAGCCAGTGTCATCACGTAAAATATTTTTCTTATCTAAAATATATTGAAGGATTTTTAAAATATGAGAATCAAGCTAATACTGTTATAATAGTTAATATTAAGTATGTATATTTTCCTTTTATAATTTGCATACATTATCTCATTTAAAACTCAGAACCATTGAACCTATGAATCTGAGGTTCAAAGGGAGAAACTGACTGGTTTTAAATCATAAAGCTAGAGGTTGTGGCACAGCCAGAGTAAAAATTCAGTTTTCTTGTCTCCAAGTTCAAGGCATTCTTTTTGCTGTACAGTATGACTTGAAAATTCTTTTGAGTGGTAACAGATACTACCATTTTTTCTAAATGAATCCTTATGAAGAGTTAACTCCAGTTCTCTCTCTCTTCCTTCCTTTCTTTCTTTTTTTAAGTAGAGACAAGCTCTCGCTGTACTGCCCAGGCTGGAGGGCAATGGCACAGTCATAGCTCACTGCAGCTTTGAACTCCTGGGCTCAAGCAATCCTCTTGCCTCAGCCTCTCGAGTAGCTGGGACTACAGGTACGAGCTACCACACCCTGCTAACTTCTTAAAAAATTTTTTGTAGAGACAGGGTCTTGCTATGTTGCCCAAGCTGGTCTCAAACTCCTGGCCTCAAGCAATCCCTGCCCCCTTGGCCTCCCAAAGTGCTGAGATTACCGGTGTGAGCCACTATACCAGGCCTCAATTCTTTTTTTTTAATGTGACCAATTATAAATAATGATAACCCATGTAATCCTTTTCTCACTTAATGTAGTTCTATCCTGTAGATGCCTTAGCTGCTAATTAAAGTTTCTTGTTCATTGGGCATCTTCTTCATCTCAAAAACTCCTGAAAATGAAATACTGCCTATATCTCAAGTGAGCCACAAACATGGCTGCTATGCCAAATAGATTGATTGTCATCAGTTTCCTTAGCAGTTAACCGTTATTTCAAAGTTTAGAGATTTAAAAGTTATTTCAATCCCATGTTTATTAATTGAACATAAAGTACTATGTTGAGACAACTATTAAAAGATGATTAAAACCTTTTTATACTTCAGGCAACCTATTCTCTACCAAGCTAGTACCCAAAACTTTTTACTTTCCCACTTCGCTAAACTTTCCAGTACTGTGTACCACTTTTTTTTCAGCTGTAAAATTGAATGTATGCTTCAAATTTTGGGAAGTGAGCTTTTTAAAACTTTCCTCAGCATTACCTGTAAAGTGAAAGGAAAGTATTTAATCTACATAGCAAAATATCATTATACAGTTATTAGATATCTTCTATGTTATGTGGAGCTTAGAGGTGGGTTATGTAAAATCTGCTTTTATATTGTAATTCTTATACTTTTTCCCCCCGTCTTTCCCCTTAGATTTTCTTCATGGATATTTTTCATAGCATTATTATGTGATGTGAGAAGTTTCTTTTTTTTTTTTGTTGAAGTAACATGGATTTTATACTACAGAATCAAGAGAATTGGCTTTATAGGAAAAATTGATTTATAAAAGTGGTACAGGTTTTTATAGATAACCATGACAACATCCCATATGAATGGGCATGTTACAGAGGAATCAGACAGCGAAGTAAAAAATGTTGATCTTGCATCACCAGAGGAACATCAGAAGCACCGAGAGATGGCTGTCGACTGCCCTGGAGATTTGGGCACCAGGATGATGCCAGTACGTCGAAGTGCACAGTTGGAGCGTATTCGGCAACAACAGGAGGACATGAGACGTAGGCGAGAGGAAGAAGGGAAAAAGCAAGAACTTGACCTTAATTCTTCCATGAGACTTAAGAAACTAGCCCAAATTCCTCCAAAGACTGGAATAGATAACCCTATATTTGATACAGAGGAAGGAATTGTCTTAGAAAGTCCTCATTATGCTGTGAAAATATTAGGTAAGTAAAAATAGGATAATGGTAAATGATTTGCATTAGTTTGTCTATGCCTTATAACATGTACAGGAAGGAAGAGGGATTTAAGAGAATGTAAGTAATGGCAGTTTGAATTCCAGACCAAGATCAATTCTTTTCTTGGAAAGGCCATATAACAATCATTGTTTATTGTTAGCCACATAGAGCTAAAGCATATGGCTTAAATGTTTAGTCACTGCAACATGTTTTTTAGATATAAAAAGTTCTGCAAGTGGCCTAACATTTAAAGCCTTGAAATTTACCTTTTATATCAAACTCACAAACTTTTATATAAAAATACAGAAAAACAATTTTCAGATTTTGAATTTCTGATTTCCTTAAAGTAAGTTTGTAAAACAGTAATGAAATTAATAACTATGGCTTAAACTGTATTTGATTTCTTTAATTAATGATTGCCAGTAAGAACTGGTGCTGCTTGTATGGCATCATACACATAAAATGTGGCTCAAAATTTTCTATCCCCAAATTGTGTTCTGTGAAAGCAAAAAAAAAAAAAAAAACCTCCAAAATATTAATCCTATGAGATATTGATAGATACAGACAAAAAAGAGTTCTGTGACCAAATAAATTTTGAGACTGCTATGTCAAATAAGCAGCTTTTTATTTCAGGACATCTTAGAATATCTGTACACACACATGCATGCATACACACACACACACACACACACACACACACACACACACACACGAGTGCTCACTGAACTAGTGTTAGAAGTTGGTAGAAGTCAGTTTGAGAAATGCTGCCTTATACATTAATTTGTGTACTCTTTAAACCTGAGCTAACCCAAATGAAGCATTTTATTTATTGGTGGTTAACTATTTTGGGGATGTGCAAAAAGAATGTTTCTACTTTTCTGCGGAAGGAGAGAGTCTTGTTGTCATTGTCATCATTTTGCCATTCATTTAAGTGTCTGTTGAGCCCTGTACTAGTTGTTTTAGCCATCACCATTCCATGTAATACCCACAACAATCCTGTTAACAGGACTCTATAATCTTCATTTTGAAGATAAACAAGTTGAACCTCATTTAAATCACTTGTTTAAGATACCAAGCTAGTAGGTAGTAGAGCCAAGTTCAAATTTGCCAGATCTGGAGTGATGTACTGCACAAAGTGGAGAGTTTGAGTGGTGACTAACATCCAGCCTGCACTTCACTCACCAGACCATAGCTCTGGCTACCTAGAGTTGAGCACCTTTTTCTAATTTGCACAAAGGTACCATATATATGCTAGATTTGTCCCTCACTAAGTCTCTTTATTCCAAGTCTGGAGTGGTTTCTGCTACATCACATCATCGGTTTCTTTTCTGTGTTATAAATTTATTCAGGATCTGCATTTCAAATTTACATGCTTCTTTGTGTTTTAAGAACTCATAGATATGTGTTCAGTCATAGTGAAGTCTGCTAAATGCCTTCAGATGTTATAGTTTCTGTGAAAACTAAAAGGTTACATATTTTCTTAATACATTTATATGAAGAAATTGTATGTTCTTTTTTCCTAAGGGTTTTGTTAGAGTAAAAATGCTTTATTCCTGATTGCCTCTTACTAGCCTTCATTTCTCATCACTTCATTATTATTTATTAACATTCTGTAAATATTCTCTATTGGAGAAAATTTATGTTATATCCAGTGCAAGCCTGGATTGATTCTTTTGTTTTTCTGTTTAAATTCCTTTAAGATTGATGTATTTGTGCATTTGCTTTACACAGATGTAAGTGTGCATTTAATAGATAATATTCAGTTAATCACAGTAAAGAAACAAATAAATAGCTTAAGCCGGATTCACTTAGGGGGAAAGTCGTGGGGTATTTTTTTTTCTTAAGCACAGAAAATTGGAGATCATTTGTCTTACTTTTTCTGCTTTTTCCTATTTCTGATTGTATGTTCTGTTGCTGATTTTCTGCAAATTCAGATTAAAGGACAGCTATATTTCTTCTAATTTATAGTCCACCATGGTTTTCAAAAATACCTTTTTGTGGTCCTTGAACTTAAGATTGTTTTATATATTTTACTTTAAAGTAATTTGAAATGTAGTTCCAGGTATTTATAATTTGTTTCTTGGACAGGAGGAGATTTAATATTCTGAGAAATAAGTGATAGAGTTAATGTTAATACACTCAACACAAATGCTGTTAATTATAGGAAACTTGAAAAATTAGCAAAAGTTATAAGATTGTCACTGTCAGTCATAGCCTCAGATTTTTGATATATTCAGTTTTAAATTTTCATTGAAAATGAAGTGTAATAGCTTTTTACCAATCATTTTTTTTCTTGTTCATAATCTGCTAACACATCAAACTACAACAGAAATACTCCCTGAAAATTGTATCTCCTTGCCAGTATTTTGATTAATACACACATGACAGGAGACAACTTCTCAGCCCTTTTCACAGCCAGAAACAGCAACTTTGTTTTAAATGAGAGAAGGATGAGGCAACTGATTTCTTTCTTTGAGAGGGAGCCTTCAGTTTCCAAACTATATATCATCATTACCTGTAAGTAGACGAAGTACTTTTTAGAATTGAAGATGTGGTTGGCAAGGTTAAGTACTTTAATTGTCTGGGTGGTTTTTAATGAAAGTATTTGTAAATTTGGCAATGTATAATAAAGTATAGGGGTGAGATTGATAGAAAATACTCAAAAGGGATGAACTGAATTTTTTTGTTTAAAACCTCTTAAAATCTAGTCAAAAATTAGAAAATAGCGATTGGGAACTTAATTTCAAATGAATAATTAAAATTAGTATTATAAATTGTAAAAGTTTTAATGTATTGGGGAGACTTCCTTAAAATAGCATTAGTTTTTAAAGCTTGCTTTGCTACACATATCGTTGTTCTCTTTCATAATCAAAGACTTGAAATCCTGAGAAAAGAACATAATGCAGGTTAGAGTGGGCTGAGATAGAGTAGGATAATTTTGAGATTTTTCTAGATTATAGATTTCACTGTTTTTGTGTTCTCATATAAGTAATTTTGGACCAGGGATGTGGACAAATAAATATAGTAGACAATATTGAAAGAGAATAAACTCGGGAAGACTGCTTTCTGTAGTATTGTATATGTGACTATATATTATAATTGTAATACCTTTGAAGAAACATTAGGAAAGGGCAGACACACTCATGGTGAGCTATCTATTTTGTGGTTAATAAGGAGACTCTTGGAATTTGTGATTAGGGGCTTTCTAAGCTACACCAGATGCTGTTAGTGTGAAGAAACAAAAGACACACCAATGTGAAGAAAACCAGGATGAATCAAACTAAAGAATGAACCATTTTCATAATAGTAATAGCATGTTTCAGTCTTGATTAGTGTCCACATATTTTTTGCCAGATGTCTCTGGATATTCAAACTATTAAAAGAGTATTGATATTTTAAAGTTACAGTAAATAGTTCTTCCACATTTCTTTCTGATGTTTAACTGCCTTTTGATTGACCATGGGACATACTGGAATTTTGTGTGATTGTGATAAACTTTATTAAAAGTTGACTTTAAAATAAAGTTTATTTAAAGCCAACAAAATTCCAGTACCAATAAATCTTGAGTTTTAGTTCAGGCTGGTTCTGAGAAGTTAATTATTTTCACTATCAAATTTTTGCTTAACTATTTCAAACAAACTTTATTAGCCATTCTTTCAGGGGCTTTTTTTCCCCTAGAAGTGAAATGATTAAACCTATTAGTACTAGATTTAATGTTTCAAGTGTTGGGACCACTTGAGAATTTTCTGATTTAGTCAAATTGCTAAAATTAGAGCTAACTTAAAAAGTAAAGATTTTAAAATTCATTAGAATATGTATATATTCATGTAAATTTTGGTTAAATATATACAATTCTATTGAAAAATTATTAACTGCTATTTCATTTAGTCTTTGACACAATGCATCAAAACTTTATTCCAGGCTGAGTGTAGTGGCTTATGCCTGTAATCCCAGCAGTTTGGGAGGCTGAGGCAAGAGGATTGCTTGAGGCCAAGAGTTTAAGACCAGCCTGGACAACATATTGAGACCTTGTCTCTACAAAAAATTTTAAAAATTAGCCGGGCATGGTGGCATACCCCTGAAGTCCCAGCTACTTGGGAGGCTGAGCAGGAGGATTGCTTGAGCCCAGGAGTTTGAGGTTGCAGTGAGCTGTCCACAAAGCAACTGCACTCTAGCCTGGGCAATAGAGCAAGACCCTGACTCTAAAAAAACTTCATTCCGCTTATTAAGTAATAGTAGGTTTTAACTTTTCCCCTCTTGCAAAGATTTCCTTCATTATCTTATGGCGTATTCAGAAATGCATAACATAATTGCATACTGGAAAGTTTTATTATCACTTAATTGCCATTGACCTTGGACAAGTTATTTAAGTTCTCTGAGCCTCAGTTTCAGGATTTTCTTGAGGACCAAATGAAAAAATGTACGTGAGCATGTAGCACTCTCTAGGTTTGAGTGAAATTTCATTTTTGTAAGAACCAGAAGCTACCAGAAAGATCATCTAACCCTCTAGTCCATGAAATTTGTGGATCTTAAAGACTAATTTTAATTTCATTTTTTAAATAACAACTTTGTTAAGATATAATTCACATACTATAGAATTTACTCTTTTAATGTATACAATTCATTAGTTTTTGGTATAGTCACAAGATTGTACAACCATTACCACTATATAATTCCAAAATGTTTTCATCACCCTAGAAAGATACCTTGTACCCATAAGCAGTCACTGCCTATTCTCCCCTCCTTCCAGCCCCTGACAACCACTAATATATATTCTGTCTGTTTGGATTTGTTTATTCTGGACATTTCATATAATCAAATCACACACAACTATGCGCCCTTTTTTGACTAACCTCTTCACTCAGTGTTATATTTTCAGGGTTCATCCATGTTGCAACATGAATTGGTACTTCATTCTTTTTTATGGCAGAATAATATTCCATTGTATGGATATGTCACATTTTGTTCATTCATCTGTTGATGGACAT